GGGGGGGGGGGGGGGGGGGGGGGGGGGGGGGGGGGGGGGGGGGGGGGGGGGGGGGGGGGGGGGGGGGGGGGGGGGGGGGGGGGGGGGGGGGGGGGGTTGAAATCGTTCGAAAGAGTTGTCACCCGGCTGCCATCTCCTATTCCTACTGCCACGTGTGTCACAAGCCCTCCTGGTCATCCGGCTGAAACAGGCCAACCATGTGCCCGTCGGGGCTTCGGATCGACGCCACCGCTCCGTGCGCCGGGTACTTTATCGGCCCATCCAGGTGGCCCCCCATCCCTAAAGCTCGCTGGACGGCATGGTCCATGTCGGGCACGTCAAAACACAACAGGGGAGAGTATCTGCTCAACAGAACAGAACATACACAAGCAGGGGCGGGATGGAAGGGAGGGGGGTCATGTTTGCTTCGGGCGGAGATCAAGAGCGTCGGTAGGCACCAAACCAACTGTGTGCTCCTTGTGCGGACACAACAATCTAGAGAAACGGCAAGACTTAGTAGCAAACGAAACAGCGATAGTACCACGAGGGATGGAGAGGAAGCGGTGCATTTACGCCCTGACTTACGTCCGTCCGGCGGGACCACAATACGGCATACTCAGGACAGAAGAAAGACGAGGTATGGACTGAGAGAGAAGGGGGGGGGAGGGGGCGTGCAGAAACAACGAAGGAGCTGCCACTGTTGAGGGCCCACGTGATGGGTGGGAAAACAGCAAGGTAACCCCATGCAGGGACATCACCAAGAGACAACAATAAATACCACACAACGATGCTCAAATCCGTACAAAAAGGCGCTGCCAAACGAGTATCGCAAACGAGTAAGTAGGGCGGTGTTCAAGTGGCGTAGGCGGCGGACGGCGGGCAGAGCGGGAGGTCTGACGGAGGAAGTCTCGCTCAAATAAGCAATTCGCGTACAGAGTGCTGCGCCTGTCCCAGTTTTCGAAACCTGTCTGATCAGCGTCCCATGACGCAAGCTTTGAATCCCCAGGTGCCTTTGATGCAGACGTGACATGTAGCCAACTCCGCCAACTTTGGTGGCCGCGCCTTGCACAATAGTCGCGGCAGGTCTGTATCTGACCGATGATGGTAGCGTCTTTCTGAAGACAAACATGAACGAAACACAAGGGTGCTCATG